CGTTATTTATTCTGCATATCTTGGAAGAGAGGCCTGGCCAGCCCTGGCTCCAGAGCACCTGGATTATTTGGTGAGTGCGGTATCCAGTGCGTCTATAATACTGAAAATAGCCAGGAGAAGGGAGCAACATATCACTTTCTTTTTTAGTTTAGAATCCCTTTACTGATATTAGCAGAGGCAAACCGTTTGGAATTCAAATTAAATTAAGGATTCAAAATCAAGAATTATGATTTGGTTTAGAATAAGTATTAGGTTTATTATTAAATTTATGTTTAAGATTAGGTTTAGAATTAATTGTAATATTGGGATTATGTTTCAGATTAGGATTAGAATCAGCACGGGAATCCCTCTGCTGAACTCGGCAAGGGAATTCCTCTGCGGACACCAGCAGAGGGAATCCTTCTAACACTATTACTAGGGTTAAGATTAATGTTATAATTGGGATTAGACATATGATTGGGGTGAGGTTTCTATGTTACCTTCTCACAGTGACCCTAGACCAGCCATACCGATCAATTATAGCACTTGCGTTCTCACAGTGACCCTATACCATCCATACCGATCACTTATAGCACTTACCTTCTCGCAGTGAGCCTATACCATCCATACAACCACTTATAGCACTCACCTTCTCGCAGTGACGCTATGCCATCATTACTGATCACTAATAGCACTTTCTCACAGTTTAAGCATGCGTGGGATTGGCATTAGGCTATCCTAACTACCAGTGACTAATGAAAGTATTTAGAAAATTGGGCAGACTAGATGGACCGAACGGTTCTTATCTGCCATCACATTCTATGTTTCTTATGATTAGATTCACAGTTGAATTTGTGTTTAGGAATTGGTTTAGAATTCCACAAAACTTTACAGAAAATGGTAGCTTAATAAAGCTTAAACTATTATGTGAGAGTCCCCATGGTGTACACTTTTGCGAATAGTTTGCATATATGCCGTAATTGAAATATATGGGCTACTAAAATGCACCAAAGGCCCATCTTCAATTTGATGATACAATTTCAATCCTGTATTTTCACAATATCCTGACAAAAATATGCAAACAATGTCATTCTGTACTCAGGAAATACAGCTAAGCATAATCTAGTGATTTATTTTTTATTTTTTTATTACAGTAGCATATATAAAGTTTACAAAATAAAACTGCTAAAGTGTTTGTACAAAAATGTAACCCCTTAAGGACAGAGCCAAATGTACACATTTTGATTCAAATAAAAAGCAAACAAAACATGGAATTTGACTATATGTCTGTTCAACCGTAATTCACCTCTTTCATATTAAGTGCACCCACACTTATTATATATCATTTAATTCAGGAGAAATATGGCTTACATTTAACATCAAACATTTAGCTATGAATGTGAAAAATTAAGAAATGTTATTTGTTTTAGTTCTGCGTGACATTTTAACTGTGAATGTCATAATACTGTTAGATTTTACTGCAATAAAATACACATATTTGTATTCAGCAATGTCTCAGGTGTAAAACAGTACCTGAAACATCGCTGTATACAAATGTGTATTTTTATTTTTTTTAATTCTTTATTTTGTTATGCAAAAAAGATCACAAATTTGCTTGCACTGCTACAACAGCAGGTGGGAGCCCAAAATTGGTATACATTTGAAAACAAGCACATAGCAGGTGAGGAACATTGCACTTTTTTTTTTTTTTGTAAATATAAACATAGCTAGGTAGCAGAGCATGCATGGACATCAATTTAAGCATTGGTATTGATTGCCAGAGGTGTGTCAGTATTGCGGGCGGAGTACTGTTATAGTGTAAGTAGAGAACAAAGCAGGTCTAGTTTTGGATGTCCTGTTAAAAAAAACAAAAACAAAAAAAAACCTCTATTGAGAGACAGTGGGTCCTAAGCTTCGTCTGCTCCTTGTCGTGTTAATTTGAGTATTCTATTGGGGCCCTATGAGTTTCATCCCTGTAGTTTACTTGCCTCATAGGGTATTTGTTAGTCACTTAGTGTGGACCTTGAGCTATAACCGAAGAGAAATTGTTAAGAAGTCACCTATCTGCAGGTAACTTTGTTCCCTACCGGGTGCTGGTGGATAGGTTTGCATAGTGGTTCCCTTGCGGGGGTATGGTAGGGGGGGGGAGGTATGTGTGGGCCGATTGAGAGATACTAGGTCTGAGGGTTATGAGCGGATTAGTACTCGAGTATGTTCAAGGTAGTGTGATAACTAGTCGGTGAGGACTGGTGAAACAGCGCCATGCAGTTACGGTAGTGCATTTAGGAAACTTAAACCATTAAAATAAAACAAGAAGAAAACATTAATGCTGAGGAACGAGAGAGAGTTATCATAGAAGCCTGGTAGGCAACAAACAGTCCGGCACAGCAGTTGGACATCCATGCATACCATCTCTGGCTCGGTCTTCTCGTTGGCGTTCAGGTCGGCATCGCGTTCAGGGTCGGTCTTGGAGTAAAGACCGCAATGTTTGCAGGGTTGATGTGGAGCAGAGTCCCGCTTACCCCATTCGGGGTGGTGGTAAGACTAAGAGAACGCAGGTGCGCTTCTAATTCTTGTAGGCTTCGTGCCTTGTAGGTAGTCCCTCCATCGGTGAAGAGCAGTGCTCGCGGGGTGCCCCATCGGTATGGGATGTTTTTGGTGCGGAGGTGTTGAAGCTGCAGCTGCAGTGATTTCCTCCAGGACAGGGTACTTTTTGTCATGTCTGGAAAGACTAGGAGCGTGGCCCCTTCAAAGGTTAAGGGGGTTTTCCCTTTTATTGCAGCTGAGAAGGTGTTCTTGTCCTGGAGGTTTTGGAAGCGGAGGATGAGGTCCGCCGGTGTTGTTTGTGGTACCTGTGCAGGCTTGGGAATGGCGGAACATCCCGTCTAGCTTTATGGCCTTGGCCTGTTTGGGCAACATCAAAGCTTCAAACAGGCGTCTGATGAAGTGGGGTAAGTCCTTGAGGCCTACGGTCTCCGGTATGCCTCTAACTTTTAAATTGTATCTTCGTCTTTGGTCTTCGAGTGAGTGTACTCGGTTTTCAGCAGCTAGTTGCCTGTCTTAGAGGTCTGCCAGTGATTGCTCCACCATCGTGATTCGAGCGTCATGGACATTGGAGGTGGCTTCGAGTTGTGTGGCTTTGGCCTTGACGCCTTCTATGGCGGTGTTGTAGTGGGCCCTGTCCGCGGCCAGGTCTTTTCGCAGGTCCGCAAACATGGCTTTAAGCAGGTCCGCTGTCACCGGTTCCCCGGCTTGCAGGGGCTTGTCTGCCCTTTTCAGCGGTGGGTCATAGGAGGCTCCCTCCTCGAGATCTATGGAGGCCTCGTCGGATGAGCACGAGAACTCATCCCTGAGCGCCATCTTGGCCCATGCAGCCTGCTGTGAGTTCCGTAGCAGTTCCCCAATATCTTTGCTGATTGGGCACTTGTCGGCTCGGGGGGTTTTTAGTTTTTCTGCCCATCGTCTGCCTTTGCGTTGCGTGTATGATATGGGGTCAGTTTTGGCTGAAAAAGCCTGTTTTAACACGGTTTCAGCAGAATAGGGCTCGGAGCTCAGAGAGTTGCGTCCGCTCTGGTCCTCAGTTAGCTCCTCCCTCCACAAATGTGTATTTTATTGCAGTAAAAGCAAACCGTAACAGTACTTTTCTTAAGCTACACTAGTTATGTGCATGTTATTGCCAAAACTGAAAAAATAATCTCTTAATTTTTTTCTTTTTTTTTAAATAATAAATGAAAATTGTATATGGATAGCTCACATCAAATTAAGGCCCTTTTTGCCCTTTAAAACAGTATTTATAATGTGTTGAGCAAAAAACGAGAAAGATGCAAACTGCGATTGAGCACAAACGGCAAAAATTTCTTGTGCCTTTAAGTGCAAGACAAGCTTCTGAAGTTGTGTCCTTAAAGGGTTAACACAGGGCCGTCTTTTCCCATGGGCACCCTGGGCACTTGCTCAGGGGCCCCACAGGCATGGGGGCATCACCGTACTGCCCAGCATACCCAGGCCGACAGGGTAGATCCTTTGATCTCCCCTGCCGGCCCTGCTGTTGGGCCAGTCGGGAGATCAAAGATCGCCCACACTGGCCCAAAGGCCCTTCGAGAGAGGGGCGAGACTGCGGGAGGACCCGGAGGCAGGACCATGGAGGAGATCTTTCCTCCTGCGAGCAGGCTGTGTGGAGCGTTGCCATTAGCGCTCAGCTCGGGAGGAGTGAAGACCGTTTGCAGCCAGGGGAGCTGCCGGCTCTATAGATCACCACTGCACCACCAGAACTTGCAGTGTCTCTCCCCCCCCCCTTCACTAAAGGTAAGAAAAAAGGTTGGGGGGACATGCAGATTTTATTAATGTAGATTTAATATTTATTAAAATATAAACAAGAAAACATTTGCTTCAAGCACCCCTCACACTCTGCAACACACAAACACCACCCACCAACAGCACCTCTCACACACATTGCCTCTCTCACACACAGCGCCTCTCACGCACACACAGGCCCCCTCACACACACACAGCACCCCTCGTACACATCACACACACAGCACCTGTCACACACACACAACACCCCAACACACAAACATATACACAGCACCCCTAACTGCAGTCTGTGTGTATTCAGCCGTCTGTGTGCGTGTATTCAGCAGTATTGTGTGTATGTATTCAGCAGTCTTTGTGTTTGTTTGTGTGTGTATTTAGAAGTATGTCTGTGTGTACTCAGCAGTCTGTGTATATTCAGCAGTCTGTATGTATATATTGCATTTGTTGGAGGTACCATTAGATATAAGGTTAATTTTATCGATAATTTTCATTTTTATTCCTGTGAGTTGTTGTGTAGGCAGGGCCCCAGTGCACTGCTTTGCCCGGTGGCCCATAATGCTGTTAAGATGGCACTGGGTTAAAAATATTCAATATTTAGCAAGTGACCTTGTTTGTTGTTTTATTTTTGTAATAATCCCGTGAAAAACACAGTGCTACAAGCATATCCCCCCAAAAATATGAACTCCCAAAATATACGCTAGTTTGGGAGATCCCCAGTATTTGAAAAATAAATAAATAAAAAGGTTCTCATTGAGCATCTGGTTACTAGTTACATAGACACCCAGTGTAAGCCACAATTTTAAAATACCAGATCCTTTCTACTGGAATTCACTTATGTGCCCAGTTCTGTGCTATCAGCTTTCAGGCAGAAACATTTCTGGCTTTATTTTAGGTTTGTCGAGGGAATTCCCTAAGCAATATGAGTAATAAAAATGTTGCTCTATGAAATTGGAAATTTGATCATAGTTCCAAACATCATAGTATGTGTCATTGTCCAAAGAGGCAATAAGGTGGGAAAAGTACACTCGGTGCCTACGGTGTCCTAACGCCTCCAGCTGTAATAAGAAAACTACTATATATATTGACCCACAAACGGATACTAGATATTCCTATACATACGTTTGTAAAGTGTTGGCACTCACTCCTGATATAATTAGGCTACTAATGTAAGGGTCATACAATATAATAAAAAGGTGAGAGCACACAATATGTATAAATACCACAATTGTAGACAACTGTGTGGGATCTTTAATAAAAAGAGAAGACCACAGTGTTATACAGTAAACAGTAAAAATGTATAAGTGCTTGCTGGTCCAACTCACATGATTCTGAGCACTTAACAAAGCTGGCTCAGACTAGAAGCTTAAATTAGAGGACCCAGTGGATG